AAAAACTTTTTCAGCACTTTAAAATAAAGTGTGTGTGCTATCAAGGTATAAAGTTTCCTTAAGTAAACGTTAGGAGTCAAAGATCTGCGTGCATCCGGAAACCTAACAGGGGCAGATTTGGTATCCGAACCTTTTATTAAGTCAGCCTCTTTTTCTTGTTTTAAAATGTTTCAACTTTTGCAGCAAAGTATAATTTGAACTCGGCAGAACTCGAACTAGCTGAGCTAAAAGACTATACCAAGATATTTACAACGGCATCGCAAAATACAAGTTTTTGTTCTTCTGATATTTTTGTTTCGGATTTAAAAGTTTTCCATCATTTTTTTGTACCTCCTAAGAAGGAAAGAATCAGAACCGCATAAAAAGGAAAGCAAAACGGAAGCGGCATCTACAGTTGGATACAGCTTGAGATACCATAAAAACTCACTGGCGGATCCGGATCCAAAAAATGTCGGTACGCCTGCGAGATTTTTGCACCACACAATGTAACCCGTTGCTTTGATGTCGAATATGTATAAATACATATATCTCAATGACTGTTTCTCTAACAAAAAGCACCAAATTTTTAATATGCGTACTCCGATCACGACAGCATAATTGTATGTATCCCGACCGCATTTTGTCGTGAAAACAGTTCCTCTTTTCCAGAAACACGTAGAAAAGCACGAATAGGTGCATAGTTTCTACAAACAGTGCTTTTTTAACTTCATCTATTTATGAAACTATCAAAATCAAGCTTGACTTTGAGTTTAGAGTATTCAATAACCTTCAGAGCGCTCATCACAATCTGATGATCAAAAAGCACCTTTCTTTTGGTGAACAAAAAAGTGCATACCCTTGTTGAAACAATATTATTAAAACAATATATATAAGTATTAGATGTTTGATTGCAAAGTAATATCAAAGAATTCAAATCAATATATTTCTCAATGTGCGTTTTCTTTACTTTAGCTAGTTGTAGAACAGATAAATAAGAATTCGTAATGATTTACGAGTTTCTGTCACAAAACGAGTCTAAACGTTAGGTATCTGGAAGCCACGGACCAGCGGTTCTACCATATCTGCTTGAATGAATTCGCATCCATCCTTCTTTAATTCCTCAACTTTAATTTTCATCACCAATTCATCTGCACATCTACATGCATCCTCAATGATGAATGTCTGATAATTCAGTTCTAACGAATGAGAAGCTGTCGCTGCAACACAGAAATCGAGTGCCAATCCACAAACGTAAACATTACGAATATTTCGTTCTTTCAACTTTTTATCCAAATCGGTTTTAGTTTGTCTTTGATTACTCCAAAATCCTGAGTAGCTGTCGATGGTCGGATTGTCGCCTTTCAATATGAATATAGAATTATCGGCAATGCTCAAGGCTTCATGTAGCTGAGCACCACTTGTATTTTGAATACAATGCGCCGGCCACAGAGTTTGTTCCCCCATTGGTTTTTTAAATTTAACAGTATCGTAGAGTTTAGCTGTTGTAGCACATACTTTGCTTTCGCATGAAACTAAATCTTGTCTAAGCTGCAAGTTTTCATAAAATGAAATATGATCTTTCGGATGCCAGTCTTGCGTGTAGACAACGACATGGAAGGGAACAGTTTTCAACAAATGGTTGATGACAGGTATAACTGCTCCACCATCTTGTTTAGCTGGGCAATCTTTCATCGCCAATGTACCATGAATGAAATCATTTTGAACATCAACAACAATTAATGCACTTAATGAATGTTGATCTTGAAGTGTGATCTTTTCAGAGTCTGGGGCTTTTGAGGAAAAGAATAAATATTTTAAGCATCGTGGCTAAAGACCCATACAGCATATTAATCTCAATACAAAATGCAAACAAAAAATTCGTAGCGATCGGCTTGGCCAAGTGACTCTGCTACCGCAATGTCTTTCTGTAACGTTGTTTCTGCATTTTTTTTCCTTCATAGTTTTCGAACGAAAGCAGATCCAGAGCTCAGCAACTGGATCTGCTTTCGTCCGAAAACTATGAACTGGATCTGCTTTCGTCCGAAAACTATGAAGGAAAAAAAATGCAGAAACAACGTTACAGAAAGACATTGCTATAGTAGAGTTACTTGGCCAAACCATAATATCACTTGCTTCTTTTTATTTCTCCTTACTTCAGCTATTAATACAATCATTTTGTAACACTTCATTTGTCGGATATATAATTCGAAACTGAACAGGAAGTTTTTTTAACTTAAATTTTGTTTCTTTCAAGTTTTGGGTCTGAACTTTCTAGATGTGCATACAGTTAGATCTTAGTAGCAATACTTTTGTGTCATTCAATCGAACTATAACGTGGATGTGGAATCGTTTTTGTGATCTAGCATCTATGCTGACGTTAAAAAAACGATTAATTTACGAACAATGCACTACTGCCAAGAACCACTTACTTTTTGTTGTTGATTCTGCCATTACACACGAAAACCTGTGGCTGAAAACTGAGCAAGCTAGAAAAAGTACAACTGCATTAGTTCTGAATGCTTTACAAATGTATTATAAATAGAAGAAAAGCGCGTGCGCGTATACTCTTAGATTATAATACTCAACAACGTTTGGTGCAAAAATCTCGCAGACGTACCGACATTTTTTGGATCCGGATCCGCTAGTGAGTTTTTATGGTATC